ACTATTATTTTATTATATAAAAGGGACTCCAACATCTATGGGTGAGGTTTATGGGGAAACTCCTCGTACATCTTTGGCAGGTTGAGGCACACCCTTTGCTCATCTATCACCTGTTGGTGTCTCTTAATGGTTTTCTGCTGTGCCTTCAACTGATCCTCTAGTCGACGAATCTTTGCTATGGACCCATAGCCAAAGTGTACCATCACTTGGGTAGTTGGATCCGTGCCCTATGGGTCCATCATTTCCCATTCTAATTCAGGGTGCTGGCGAGGGAGGAATCGATATTGGTCATCCTTCATATCCTCGAATCAACGACCATGGAGACCCATGCATGCTGCAGCAGCTGCATCTTCTATGCTATCCTCCATGGTGGCACAGTGAGCATGATGCGCATAGTTTGAATCCAACTGATATGCGCCCTTCTGTTCGTCCTTGATGGAGATGCACACCCTGGTCTTCCAATAGGTGTCTTCTAGAGGGTGTGTATGTTCATTGCAGACGTACTCCACAGCTGCGTCCCAATCTCCGTAGTAGGTCTGAAGAATCCGCATGAGTCGGTGGTGCGAAACAGAGGATTCACACCCTGGCTTATACCAGACCTTTGTCGTCCATCCTAGGGGAGGGATCGGCTCATCCTCTTCAATGACGTCTTCCTCCTCCTCATCGGACAGTAAGATGACCTCAACTTCTTCGGGTTCCTCCTAGACTGGCTCAGACGTAGGTACAGGTGTTGTTGAATCAAATTCTTGTTCTTGGGGTTCCTCCTCCTCAGGCTCCATGAACAAACCACGAGGCAGGTAGTAACCTCCGGTGCTGATGCGGGTAGTCTTACTAGCACAAGACATCTATGGAATTAGATTTAGTTAGATTAGAAGCAATAATTTTTATAATAGAGTAAGACAAAAGGAGCATAAAACTTTAGCAAATAACAAGGGTGAGATAGGAAAGCATGAAATGAGTGAAGCAAAAGAAGCTAAAACGACCATTGCTAACTAGGCTTGCGTCCTACAGTCAACACGGCTCTGATACCAATCTGTCACACCCGATTTTAAGGATAAAATAGGATGCAAAATCTTATGTGCGCCCAGAGATCAGTCACACACATAAGCCGACAAATTATGAATAGTATCATCACAAGTGTTTATTACATCACGAATAAGACAGAGTCTTCACATAAATGTAGCGGAAGTATAAAGAAAGGATCTCTCGCAGAAGCTCCATATCACAGGGACATCAACTGGTTGACTACAAGTCTAGTAATCCTTAAGGAAATCGTCATAACCATAGCCATCTGTTACCCATCTGGGATTTTTATCCAAGTAATGAAAATAAACAAGCATAAGTACATGTCGTACTCAACAAGTGTAACATGGGGGTCATGAGGCTCAAAAAGGCTTGACACAGGTTTAACAGTGTTCAGCTTTTAGTTGTCACAATTTTAACATAAGAGTAGCAACAAGTTGTTTCAATTCCCAATGCAAAACACATGATCAATGTAAACATGAATAATAAATAGCATAAACAGATAATTCTTAGTGTTCATCTATTCCATAAGGGTTCTAAGGCTGCTCGTGACCGTGAGCACGGCTGATATACAAGTTTTACACTCTGCAGAGGTTGTACACTTTCACTGTGAGTCGTCATACCCATATGCCCGGGTTTCCAACTTCCAAAACACTTCCAAGGTGAGCAGACAAGGGTCACTAAGAAGCCTTTCAAAGGTTCGTCTAACAAGTTAGGGCTATTAGATTCACTCAGCAAACAGATATAGGAACCCCCCTATCGAATGGCACAATTCCATCACGGCTATACACATAAGAGTAGAGGTTGTCCTATATCTGATTCGTCAAGCCATTTTTATGCCAATAAAGGTAACCACTAACAAGCTAGAAAAGGTCCTCATACTGAGCTAAAGCCAGAGCCATGTAGCCCTCACAGCTGTACTGTAAGTCCCGGATGATTACTTATAGATAAGTCCTTAGAGAGAGGAATCTGAAGCATTTAGAAAGTAGCTAAACACTCCAGCCCCCTGTTTCCAAGTTGCTAAAAAGTCATATTTTAATGTTTATTGCATATACCATTAGTCAAGTTACAAGATCATAGTTTAATTGAGCACTAGCAAAGCTACCCAATGCATATCCCGTAGGTGACAAGGTATAAGTTCAATTCTAGGGAATCCCTATCAAGGCAACACATGCAACATGAATTTAATGTATTAAAGTAAATAGGAAACAAGGATGATCTCATGCTATACTTGCCTTGAGCAAAGTACTCCTGCTGATCCGGCACGTCAAAGTAATACTCTTGGTCTCCCACGAATTGCTCGCCATCTATACTCGATAATCACAGCAACAAGCATCTAGAAGCAATCATGCATAGCAAACAAAAGCTATAGATTAGAACAGTACACCAACGGCATAAAATCAAGATGAAAAGGTTTGGAAAATAAATCTACGTCTCGCTACGAACACACAGACACAAAAATCACAAAAATAAGAGCTAAAACGAAGAAGTTATGATTTAAACAAGTTTTTTTAGTAAAATAATAAATTAAATCTAACCTCGAATTTTAAAAGTTGAAAACATGCTTAACCGTAGTATGAACATGTAGATTACTTAATTACAAACCTAACACAATTTGAACGGATTAAATCGAAGTTAAAACGAAAAAGTTATGGCCTAAACAAACCTAGTGGCAAAACTGTAAATAGCTGAAAACGTATTTTAGATCTAACCAAAACAAAGTACGCTTTCAAAAGAAGAAAACAAAATCTGAAAAGACACTTTGGACTACAGGTTAAGACTCAAATAATTATAAGGGGGTTTTTGCAAAACTCGCAGCGAAGGGGTATCTTCTATTTTCGGTCGTTGGATCAAAATCGGATGGCTAGGATTGCACGGGGGGGAGTGGTCGGAACAGGGCCGGCGGCGAACCCGGCGGCGGCGGCACCATGGCCAGTACGACAGAGCTCATCAAATCTAAGCCTACAGTCCATCGTTTGATGAACCGAAGATATGAGGAGAAAGAGGGGGCGACGGCGGACTCACCTAGGGTTTCCTCGGCAGCAGAGCAAGAGCAGGGAAGGCACGGGGCTCAACGAGGTGACAGCGGCTCTTCAAGCTCGCGGCGGCGCTGATGTAGGGCAAGGGCGGCTGCGGCTTGCTTCCAAAACGAGATAGGGAGAGCGGCAGGTGTGGCTCTGGTATTTATGAGGCGTGGGAGACTTGAGGGCACGGCAAACGCAGCACTCGTAGCCAGCGCAGAGTCAGACAGCGGCGACGAAGATGTGCCCGGCTCGGACACGACACAAGGAGGAAGACGGCTTGCTGACTGGTGGGCCAAGGCGGTCAGCGAGAGGAAAGGAGAGCACACAGGCGCGGCTCAGACCTAGGCCAGCGCTGCTGCTGGGCCGCGGGCGAGGAAATGGGCCACGGGCGTGGAGAAGCAAGGGACGGGGTGGCTGGGCCGGCGCGGAGGAAATGAGAGGCAGGCCGACTAGGCTGAAAGCAGGGAAAGGAGGAAGGGAAATTCATTTTTCCTTTTCTAATTTTTCCAAAGCAAATTTCAAAATACAATTTCAAATCAATTTGAAATTTGATTTCAAACCAAGCAATACAAAATAATATGCAGCAACATGAATGCACATACTTGTTTGTTGACCTATATTTGATTTTATTTTTAATAAAGTCATTATTTTTCTAAATTTCAAAGTTCACAAAATGCGTAACTAAATCACATTCCCCTATTTAAAATTATGCAAATTTTTAGGGTGTTACAATACCCAGGGGTGCTCACAGTGTGCTCGTGCTTGCCAGCAAGGTGGTGCTCGTGAGTTGCTGGCGCATTAGGTGGTGCCCATGCTCGCCAGCTAAGGGTGCTCGCCACCTGCTTGCCTGCTCGTACTCGCCAGGCAGGAGGTGCTCGCCGGCTCCTGGGCTCTCGCCAGGGGTGCTCATGGGATTCTCGCCGAGCAAGCTGCCATGCACGCCAGGTGCTCCACGCGTAGGTGCTCGCCCAATTCTGCTCTCGCGGCTTCGTGCAGGTGCTCGACCAGCGCAGTGCCTCCGCTGGGGCATCGGTGAGCTTCATGCGTCGTTGCCAACCTCCGCGCAGGTGTCGAGCTCCACAACGACGAGCCTCCATTCGTTCAAGCAGCAAGGTGACACTGTACTGAAAACGCAGGTTGCAAGCGTATTTTTTTAGACTTTTCCGATGTGTGTTGCAAGTGTTTCACATCGATGTTGCAAAAATAGATTGAGATGTTACATATGTTTAATGGCTATACACGCATGTTGCAAGGGTGTTTTCCAATGTTTCATCTGTTTTTTTTTGAAGCATGTTGCAAGTGTGTTTATTTTGGATATTGCTTATGTTTCACGCATATGTTGCAAATGTTTTACGTCAATATTTCATATGCTTGCGCTGGCTTTCAAGTGTTTTCAGACGTTATGCAAGTGTTGATGTATGTTAGCAAGTGTTTCAGCTGCTTCAGATATATGTTATAAATGTTTCGTTTAGATATTGCAAAAGTAGATTTGGTATTAGCACGTGTTTCAGTCGGACGAGCAGGTGGCCGAGCAGCCGGATGAGCATACTGGCCAGGCGGGCGAGTAGACGACGATCGGGTGAGCATACGGCCAGACGGGCTAGCAGGCAGGGAGGCGCAGCAGGCGCGGGCGTCCATCTAGCTACGTCTTTTTTTTACCATAACTTTTTTAATATGCATGAATCGAAAGGGATTGCAATGTTTTGCGAGGTCCTAACTCCTAAGGGAAAGATAAGCATGGGTCGTCGTTATCTTGTTGGACTTGGGAGAGAGAGAGAACAGTCTGTCAGAGGGAGAAGCACGGCGAGAGCGTGCTCGTGGATACCCCTCTCCGTCAACTGGAGTGCGTGATCGATCGAGTTGCCGTTTCCATTCCAAAACCCCCAATCCGATCTTCTACTTCCGATCGAGGAGGAAGAAGGCCGACGCCGGCGCCGGCGCAGACTGATGGCGATGGGAGCGGCGGTTCGCGCGGCGGCCGCGGACGCCGTGGTGACGTTCCTGTGGGTGCTGTGCGCCTCCGCGCTCGGCGCCTCCACGGCGGCCGTCACGTCGTACCTGGGGGTGCAGGAGGGCGCCGGCGGCCACTACTCGCTCCTCGTCACCGCGTCCCTCCTCTCGGTGCTCCTCTTCACCTTCGACCTCCTCTGCGGCGCGCTCGGCGGCGCCAGCTTCAACCCCACCGACTTCGCCGCCTCCTATGCCGCCGGGCTCGACAGCCCCCTCCTCTTCTCCGTCGCGCTCCGATTCCCGGCGCAGGTGCGGTAGCGATCGACCTTTTTGCTCCTTATCTTATCTCCCGCCTGACTTTAGTGGAACCAAGCCTAATTATGAGCATCTTTGTTATTGCTAGGCCGCCGGCGCTGTGGGCGGCGCCCTAGCGATCTCGGAGCTGATGCCGGCGCAGTACAAGCACACGCTCGCGGGCCCCTCGCTCAAGGTGGATCCCCACACCGGCGCCCTTGCGGAAGGGGTGCTCACCTTCGTCATCACCCTGGCCGTGCTCTGGGTCATCGTCAAGGGCCCCCGCAACGCCATCCTCAAGACCTTGTTGCTCTCAGTCTCCATTGTCTCCCTCATCCTGGCAGGCGCAGAGTACACCGGACCGTCCATGAACCCAGCTAATGTCAGTATCTTGCCTTTCCTTTCATTTTGTTCTCTTTGTGTTTGTTTGCTTCAATTCAATGTCCATGGGTAGTTTCCGTCACCATCTACTTCTTACTACTAATTCTATTACCAAGAACATTACATTATGGCATTGGTGCAGGCCATGAGAAAACCAAATTAAATGCTCTTCATGTGTGATATTGCATCCTGGACCTCTACAGCTTCAGAAGTACCATTCCTAAAATCTAACCTCGAATAACTATAATGGGCTTAGCAATAAAAGAACATACATACTGATGGGAATGTCATGGCCAAAACTCAGCTTCAGGTTGCAATGTTTCCATCTACTATATCAATCATCAGAGAAGTCACTAGTTAAGAAAAACATACTGCCAGAAATATTGGTATGTATTTGGCAGTTCAAAGCATTTCTTTTTATTTTTTACCACTACCTGTCAATTGTTGTAATCTTTTATTTGTAGAAATACTTTTCTTATGTTTGTGATGCTAAAGTTGCTTATTCATTATTTTTCACTTTGATTTGTCCATCTGCGTTTGAGCAGTCAAAGAGTACTGCTTACAAAACAGTGTCTTGAGTCCTTTCTTTTTGTTTCTCTTTTTCAAAGGAACATCACCTTGTTATGTACAAGTACAATGCAAGGTGCTTAGACACAAGTGCTTAAGGAGAGAGAATGTTGTCATATCACTAAGCATGGTATATAAGATATTTCCTACATTGCAAACATGTGCTTAGATAGGCTTAATGACCTTGTTAGCATTAAGCATTGGTGCTAACTTAAGCATCTTATCCACCTTCTAAGCATTAGGTGCTAATCATATGCTGAAGAAAGTTCTACGCTAAGCACCTCCATTTTACATGCTCTTACCAAGGTGGTGCCAACTTTCTGTGACAACAAAAATAAATTCTTGTTCATATATTATGCTTTTTTAGGAAAGGTTAATGTAGACTGCATTTTAGTATAAGTTTAGCACTTTATATATGGGCATGGCTTAATTTTGTTTTTCTAGAACAGGGTCTAGCTAGATGAACACTAAGTTTGTTAGAAAAATATTTTCAGAATTTTATAATTTACTGTTAGATTGGTGTAAAGTTAGAAAAATAATGGTCAAAGTTATATCACATTATCACTAAGATCATGAACTGATCTGCACCTAATTTTCAGTTTTTGAAGCTGAATGTTTTTAAAAGTCTATTGGTAGAGTATTTTAAAATTTTGTCTAAATCTAATCCAAAATGTATTTTTGCTGGAAGGGGTACAACTTTGAAACTGGAGGATGTACCCTACCCATCAAATGCTTTTTAATTAACAATAATCCAATCACTATCGATGAGTAGGTGTATTTTGGCCATTATGTCTTACTTTCTTTGGGCCTATAGGGTTCGCCAAGTCTATCCAATTCGCAGCCTACTTTGGTAGTTTGGTCAACAACTCAAGCCTTGCTGTGAACTGAATTGACTCTAGTGCAAGAACTAAAATACTCAAGAAAGCAGCTGCAGCTGTATGATTTGAAGTTTTTATCTCTAGTTAGTAGTTATTATACACATCCATTCATAATTTTGGTTTCTATATGCGTTATTCCACACATTTATGACAGGGCGACTAAATGTAATTTGTTGAAATGAAGCCTAAAAAGTCATCGGTCAACAACATAGGTAGAGGTTATTTCTATTGGTGGCATTATCAAAGCATATTTCATAGTTGCCTCCATGTTAAGCAATGTCAGTTTTTTTATCAGGGATCAGTATGCTTCACATAGTATTTCTAAATCCTGAATCTGTTGTTAACTTATTTTAAGTTATTTCTCCTTTTGAGCAGCCCGGAGGTATCCTGTTTGTATCCATTTTCATCTATGCACTTTGTAGGAAAACAAGCATTAGTCATATCTTGGTTTCCATTTTACTTTAGTAATTTGTTTTTTGGTCAACTATCATGAATAGGCATTTGGCTGGGCATATGTTAACAATTGGCACAACACATGGGAGCAGCTGTATGTGTACTGGATATGCCCCTTTATTGGGGCCATGCTTGCTGGATGGACCTTTAGGGCGGTGTTCCTACCACCGGCACCTAAGCCTAAGACCAAGAAAGCATGACAAAATTCAAGCTTGTATTCATATACCGTCATCACTCGGTTGTGGATGCTGGTTTTGAAGAAATCAGCAAGCAGAGGAAGGTCAAATAAGCTCCTGTGTTGTATTTGATTTCCTCAACTTCCCACAAATTGGGTGTTGTCCTCTGTTACTTATTTCTCATCAATAATTTATGTGTACTTATAATTTTGGGCCAGTCAGGATGTATTTTAGTCCTTTTATTTATTTTTTTCTTTATGACTATGGCAAAATCATCGATCTCAACTGAAGCTCGAGTACATACTATCTAGGGTAGAAGGATCAACAGCATTTTATATTTTTACTACACCAGGAACTTTTATAAGGTTGAAAGCCATTTTAAGATTCATCCAGATGTTTTCTAAGATAAACTTACTCACCTATTGTAACACCCTAAAATTTGAAATTCTTTTAAAAATAGTAAATTTGATTTAAATATGCAATTATATGTGCAATTCAAATTAGGAAGTAATATTTCTTTTATAAAATTAAAAGAAAATGCAAGAATAGAAACATGTGATGCATTCATGCTATTGCGTATTTAATTCTGTGACGGGTGTTTTATTCAAATGCTAAAAGATTCTAAAAACCTTTTGAAAATGAGTTTGAAGATTTTATTTATAAAAAGAAAAAGGGAAAATTCCTTTCATTCCTCCCTTCCTCACATTCGGCCCGCTCCCCTCTCTTCCTTCCACTCCTCCCATTCTCCTTCCTGGGCCAGCCCAGTTCAGGCGGAACCGTTGCCCCCGCGCCAGCCCAGCACCGCGCCCTTTCCCCGCGCGTCAGTCGCTGCCTAAGCGGGCCCGCTTGTCAGCTCTTTCCCCCACCTCCTCCCGCACGCCCCGCCCAGTCAGGCAACTGCCGCTGCGCAACCGCCGCCCCGCGCCCGCTCCTCGCGACGTGGGCGCGTCGCCCCGCTCCACGGCCTCGTTAAAAGGGAGCCGAGACCCTCCGCGCACCCCTGCTGCCTTTTCCCCGCTCTCCTTTCGCACTTGCTCGGGCCGAAGAAGCCGCAACAACCGCCGCAGCACTCGCCGGATCCACCGTGCGCGAGCAGCCGTTCCCGTCGCCTCGCCGTCGCGTCTGGCCCTCAGCCGAGCTTTGCCGTGATGTAACGAACCACTTGCCGCCTTTATCTTCTTGTTTTTCGCCTTCAATCGCTAACTCTTGGTCGTCGGTCTTCACAGAACGCCGCCGTCCGCTGCTCACCGTGGTCCGCCATCCTCGCTTCATCACCGCCTCCGATTTTCGCCCGTGGTGAGCTCGCCGTGGTCCCCTCTCTCTCCCCGACCCTTTTTATTTAGCATTTGGTGGCTTCTAGCACCGTAGCCGCGAGCTCCGAGGACCTTGGCCGCCGGCCATGGCGGCCACCGCGCTACCCGCCATTCCCTGGCCGTGTTTTGTCCTAGGGTGGACTCGCCATCCTCCCCGCATCATCCTCCTGGCTTCGGTTGGGCACACCGTGGCCCGTAGGGCCTTAACCGACCACGACGGAGAGCTCCTCGCCGCCGGCAATGGAGAGTCGCCGTGGCAGCCCCTGTTCCCCGTCGGCGCCCTTTTCTCTCTCCCTCCCATCTGTTCTAGGCCGTCCGTTCCTTGATCGACGGCCCACGTCGGCTGATACCCCTTCGGGGGTAAAATTGCTAAAGAGCCCTCCTGTTTTCGCGTAATAGAACCCGCCGTCCTTAGCGTATTTCCTCGAGTACGCATTCTCGTTTTGAAAGCGTAAAGTTCACTGTTTAAGTCAAAAGTACGCTTTCAGTATTTACAGAAATGCCATTCGAACTGTTTCGCTTATAGAATTGTCGTTTTAACTCCGAATTGATCCATTCAAATCGCGTTAGTTTCGTAATTTCATAAGCTACATGTTGGAGCTACTGTTAGACAAGTTTGGAACTTTTTAATTTCATGATTAGAATTAATTAAATATAGGGCTATAGGAAAACCCGTTATAATCATAACTATCGCATTTTAGCTCCGTTTTTCGTGAACTTCGCGTTGACGTGATCGTAGAGAAACGTAGATTAGTTTTACAAACATTTTATCTTGTTTTCAATACTGTTGGTGTACTGTTCTAATGATAGGAATGTTTGCTTTGCATGAATGCTTTTGGAATGTTGTATGTTGCCGTGTTGGTCGCGTTAGGAGACGGTGAGGAAAAGCGTTGGAGACCAAGAACTCTTGACGACCAAGCAGGACCAGCACGCAATTTGTGAACCAAGGCGAGTATAACATGGGCCTTCCTTGATGTCCTATTTCACTTTAAGCAATTACTCATTTGCATGTGTCTAATTTTGATACCCGTAAGGACATCCTAGTGATTGTTATCCTGTTCCTTGTCTCCTATGGGTTAAATGCATATGGGTAGATTGCTAGTGCTCTAACTGAACTTGATATACATGTTGATGAATGATACTATGGAACAAAGTGAGTAACATGAATTATAACAACTGTTCCATAGGGCGAAAGTGCAAATGATCTTTGTTCATGTTGCTCCCGGCCCTCCATAAGGACTTATCTGTCGGCAAAAGCTGGGGATGACGATTGCAGCAGGGAGAGTCATATGGCTCTGACTTTAGCTCAGTAATAGGACCTTTCCTAGCTGGTTAGAGGTTACCTTTTTGGCGCAAATGGGGCTTGCCACTTTGGGTATAGGGCTGCCTCTGTTCCTATGAGTATAGCCGCGATGGATTTGTGCCATAGGAAAGGGGGGTCCCTACATCTGCCTGCCAAGGAAACCTAGCGGCCCTAACTTGTTAGGGAAACCTATGAAATGGCTTCATAGTGTACCCTGCCCGCTCACCTTGGTAGTGACATGGGAGTAATTAACTTAGGGCATATGGGGATCACGACTCATGGTGAATGTGCACCACCCTGCTGAGAGGGTAACAAGCTATTATAACAGTAGTGCTCACGATTCTGGCTGCTCCCGGAAAACTCATGAATAACTGGATACTTGA